GTCTCCTCGTCCTCGTCCTCCTCCCCTCCCTCCCCTCCCCTCCCGTCCCTCCCTCCTCTCCTCTCCTCTCCTCTCCTCTCCTCTCCTCTCCTCTCTTCTCCTCGTCCTCCCTTCCTCCTCTCCTCTCCTCTCCTCTCCTCTCCTCTCCTCTCCTCTCCTCTCCTCTCCTCTCCTCTCCTCTCCCTCTCCCTCTCCCTCTCCCTCTCCCTCTCCCTCTCCCTCACTGTAATCACCAGCCCGTCATCGTCCGCTGCTCACCGGACGGCTCAAAGCTTGCAAGCTACTCTAGCGCCATTGGGATCGTGGAGTGGGATATGGAGGAGGGAAACATGCTGTATCGCCATGAGGAGGAGGGTGTAGTCGACTTCTGCTACGCCCTTCTTCTCCTAGGCTCCTCGTCGCAGCGACAGCTCTGCATCCTCGTGGTCGGACAGCAAAACGTCTACGCGCTACCCAGCGCGGAGAAGTCAAGAGGAGGAGGAGCAGGAGCAGGAGCAGCTAAAAGGGTTCCATCCTCTTTCCTGACTGATATCGTTGATATTGACGTATGGAGCATCCTAGACAAGCGCCAGGCTGCTCGTGAGCTCTCCTTCTTCTCCTCCTTCTCCTCCTTCTCCTCCCTCTCCTCCCTCTCCTCCCTCTCCTCCTTCTCCTCCTTCCTCCTCCTTCTCCTCCTGTCTCTCCTCCCTCCCGGTTCTCCTCCCTCCCCCTTCTCCTTTCTCAACCTCCTCCTTCTCCCTTTCCCAAACTTTCTCATATCGTCTGAAGCTCCAACAGGAACAGAATGGCTGAGATCCCACGCCCTGATGCTGCAGGGAGCATGGCGGCAGCATGCGGCGAGGGCGAGAGTTGAACGACTGAGCAAGGAACGGGACATGAAGAGACTACAAAACCCTGAGAAGAGAGGGAAGCGTCAGCAGCAGCAGCAGCAGCGATTGCGGTACTCCTGCCTTGCGTGGACGGGAATGGACGGGGAGGTTCAGCGTGCGATCTATCAGGTACCGGAGAGGGAGCAGGCAAATGTTCTCCTCAAGCTCCTCGCTCGGGGTAACTTCGCGCCGAGGACAGTGAAGATTCTTGAACTGGAGGAGGGCGGGCAGCTAGAGCAAGTCTTGCAGGAGGAGCAGGAGGAGCAGGAGAAGGAGACCGAGGATGCTCTCGTGCTTGTGATGCGGGGATCCGTCCTCCTGTCCTCTCGCGGCTACTCCCTGCGTATCAACGCTGGTCGGTTGCTCTTCCTCAGCCCATCTCCTGCTGGCGATGAGGCCACTTCTCCTTCCCTCTCCTCCTTCCCTTCCCTCTTCTGCACGGCGGGTACGAGGCTGCTGTGCATGAGGAAAGAAGGGCTGCGAGCTCTGCGGAGGACGAGTGGGGTATTCAACCCTACACTCTTCTCCGTGACCAACCTCCTCACTCGCTCCACCTCGCACGTATCCTCCACCAGCTCCTTGTGGAGTCAGGAGGAGGAGGAGGAAACTGCGACTGCGCTGGACCTGCAAGACATCTCCTCCTCTGATGTCTCTATGAGCAGGGCAATGGCCAAGTACGGTGTCCCCTTGTGCGTGCAAGAAGCGATCGAGGGGGTTGCGGACGGGGGCAGGGGCACAGGAGCAGGAGCAGGAGCAGGAGCAGGAGCAGGAGCAGGAGCAGGAGCAAGAGGGAGAAAGGGGCAGGAGGACTTGCGCTTCCATGATGCGCTGGAGTTCATGAGGAGCTTGAACGACCCATCCTCTCGCGCAGCTGCTGTGCGAGCAAGCTTCAGAAGATCACTCCTCTCGCGCCCAACCTCCTCCCACTCCTCCCCCTCCTCCCCCTCCTTCGAGTTCCTCGCGCAGTCCGGGGGCCGGCTGCGCAAAGAAGCCGAGCTCTTGTCGGGCCAGCTGGAACACGTTCGTTCGAAGCAGAAGAATTCTTTCTTCCGCCTGCCCAGCGCCCGCCCTCGACTCCTTGCACAAGGTCCAGACATCCTCGTCGGCTTTCCTATCCTCAGTCCTTCCCTCCTCCCTCCCTCCCTCCCTCCCTCCCTCCCTCCCTCCCTCCCTCCCTCCCTCCCTCGTCACCTCACGTCTCCCTCCCTCTGTCCTCCTTCATACTTCACGCCTTAAATCTCTCGCAGGACTAGGCAGTGGCTACTCCCCTTCGCCCTCTCCAACCAAGGTCTCACAGCCATTGTGGTTCCCTCTACACACTGACAGCCTTGTGCTCAGGTACCCAGACCCTCCTCCTCGTTCCTCTAGCAGCACGAGTCCTTGCAAGAGTTCAAGGTTGTGCAACATTGACCAATTGACATACTCGCGATCCGAGACTCTGGCTGCGACAGTTGCTCTCTTCATAATGTTCTCTCCAGCTATGCTACCTCCCTCACGTAAAGTACAGACAACTCTTTCCTTCCCAAAGACAAAAAAATCAGCACCTTCACCAGCATCCTCCCATGACACATTAACCCTTCAGACATCCACATCACTGCGCCTTCCAGTATCCCCGCATGATCCCCACACCCATCGCCTTGTTGTAGTCTGACCTGCTCCCTTACAGTCAGCGAGGTTCTCCTCTCCTTCTCCTCCCCTCTTGTCCCCCTTCCCCTTCCAACCCTGCTTTTTGCTGCCCTCCAACCCGCTCTCCATTCCTCTTCCCTCTCGCACCTTGACGACGGCGACGAAGGGCTGCTGTGTGCCTTGGGTTCCTCCTCCAGACGTTCCAGGTGGCTCAGAAGACTCTTGTTATCGCCCCCTCCAGGAACCTCCTGGGTGTACTCCCACTCCCCCACGGCATCCAATGAAGATTGAATCTTCTTGCCCTTGTTCTTGACAGGCTGGTCCTGCTCGCATTCTTCCTCCACCAACTCCTTTAAACTCTCCGTCTTGAAGCTCTTTGCCGACATTCCGAGCGCAGCGGGGCGCACGATCTTCATGCTCCCGGCCCCTTTCGTCTCTTCGGGGTCCTTGGGCAACATTCGCGGCTTAGGTTTTATCACGTTCACCTCCTGCTCCATCGTTTTCCAGTTCTCGCTGACAACAAGGGTGAGAAGGCAACACAAACCAACAAGGCTCTCACCTCCTCGAGAACTGGAACTTCCATCTCCAGCTCTGAAAACGGAATAAACCAATCGAATAACGGGGGAGGTTCGAAATATGCTCACATCGTTGGGAAGATTGTTGTCTTCAGATCCATCCTGCATGTTTTACAGCCCCTGCTGCTCCCCTCTCTCACTGTCTCTTTCTGAGCAGGAAACGAGCGGTAAAGAGTAGAGTTGAAGATCGATGCTAAAGAGCAATTTGGCTCCAAAGAAGTTTTAAGACTTCTTACAAGGAAGAAGTATTGGGTGAGTTGTTCAGTTTGTAGCTTTTGAGCTTGAACAAGATCCTGAGAAGAAATGGCGACAGTCAAATCGATTACATGCTTCTCAGGTAAGCAGAGGGATTAGGTCGGCAAGCAAAACAAAAAAGATGGCTGAAATACAATCGATGAGCAAAGGAAAGATCATATGATAGGGGGGGAACAAAACACAGAGTATTCGAACCAAGAAAATCGAGGTGGGGTAAAATGTCGCATAAGAGGTTATAAGCAGAATGGAGCAGCATTCATAGATTTACAGGCGACAGGAACAAGCTGTTGATCAGAGCAACATGATATGTTTTGACGTAAGAAGAATGGGAGGAGATCATGGGAGGAGATCATGGGAGGAGATCATGGAAGGGAGTGCTGCGGTTTCATCTTCATCTTCGGGAAGCATTTTAGGAACTCAGCGAGATACTCTTTCAAGGACCACCGGTGATACTATAAGCATAGGTACCCCGGAAAAACTTATGTGAAGTGGGGGTAGTCAAAGAACAAATAAAAATGATACAACTCGGGGTCAGGGGGTGGATTATAGTAGGGGTGATACCTAGTACCGGTCCTTTGTCGATCATGAAGACTGAAAAGAGTGGGTACGGAGATACGGAGGTGACTTCAGCTTTCAGGTAGGGGTACAGGGGTACAGTAGGGATGAAGGTCACAAAGAAATATTCTCCCAGGCGGTGGGTGGGGTACTACAGTGGATAGTCAATTCTGGGGGTCATTCCTGGGATATCAGGGGGTAGTGAAACTACAAACCTCTTTGGGAAAACTTTAAAATAGTAATAGTAAGTAGTAATACGTTCGTCATTTGGTGTTAATGGAAAACAAAATCCTACAAAATGTGATAAGTAAACTATTAATGGTACCTATTTTGGGGTATATCACCCCCCATTGTCGGTATCTTCCCCTCGGAGAAGGGCGCAGCGGGTGTAATAAGTGAATGACCGAATGGACGTTACAATCCGTTACATTGGTTCCGTATGCAATGCCACCTCGGCCCGCCCGGTGGGGGCCGGCGGCCGCAGGAGACTGAAGGTGACCGCACGTGATATGGAGGGGGGGGTGGGGGGTGCTGATCAAAGATTCGAGGCCGTGGGTGGGTGAAACAGATAACGAAATATGACTTGGGTGGGTGGTTATTGGTCGAATGCAGGGGTACCTGGAAGGGGCGTAGGGGTCAATGGATAGAAGGCTAGTTACAAGACCCCCGCCGTTTGTTTGTGACCAAGTGATACCTACCCACCCCAGTAATTTCGAAAAACTTCAACGAAAGCACACCCGTACTTGAATTTTCATATCACCCACCATGGGGTAGAAGCTTGATCAAAGGGAATTAGGAGGGGTAGACAATATGATGGAGTACTGATGATGGTGAAAATCCGATGGAGCATTTGGAACATCCAAAGAAACCAAACTTTGGGTTAAATGTCGGTCAATATACGAAATCAGAAAGTAAATATTCAGAATATGTTCGAAAATCCCAACTGTTTGCTTCATACGAACCGTCTCACGGGACTACACTTAGCTGACGCTTAGATCGACGACCCTACCCCTCTCTTTCCCTGCCGCCATCTTCATGTTGTATCACCCCCTTCACAAGAACACCACCCTTGCAGTGTGTATCACTCAGATCCAAGCACCCGTAGTTTGATATCATGTTATACAAAGTACCCCAATCTGACCTCATATTTTGTAGATAATATCACGGGTAGTGCATAAGCAACAGAGGAGATACCCCTAGTGTATTCATAAAACCCCAGCATTAACCCACCCCTACCCACTCCACGTCACCCCTACCTGCGCATTCCGTCTGTTGAGCCTTCGCCTTGCTGGCCAGCCCCACAAATTACCCCACCTCCCAGGTATATCAGTACCCTACCTACCAACACAGGAAGACCACTTCCATCAAGTCCTGTACGCTATTTTTCCTTTTGATCCACTTAGGAAATACTCTATCTATGTACAATACCTGCCTTTTTATCCACCCCCTACCCGCGATCAGTGAACCCCACCCACCATACCTGCGGCCCCTGCAGGACCAATCCTCCTCCTCGTCCTCCCTGCTCCTCCAGCTTCGCGTTGGAAGAGTACAAGAGATCGAATAGAAGCCCAAGCAGCTCAAGTCCCTTCTAGTCTTTACAAGATGCCCATCGACATGTCCAACGGACGCGGAATCCGCGTTCTAGTTTGCGGAGCCGGAGGCTTCATCGGGGTGAGGATCCCACTCGTGAACTGTGCAAACCAGTTGTCGCTGCTGCTGCTCTCCTTCCCTGGATTCTTGCGCACTGTCTGTATGCTCCTGTCTTGGTTCCGAAGAATTTTATGAAATGGCCATGAGTTATGTTGTGTATCGGAGACGTTTAGCGCTGCTGTTGTTTCTTGCTTGCGGAAGCAAACGTGCTAACTGTGTTTTAGGCCCACCTCGGAGTTCGGCTCAAGAAGGATGGGTACACGGTCATCGGTGCCGACTGGAAGAAGCAGGAGTACTTCGAAGAGGTATCGCTACCTCAGTACATGCGTTCAAGAGAGCTGACGGGCGCGTTCCTCACCCTCAGCACGAGTTCTGCGACGAGTTCCACGAGGTGGACCTCCGCGATCTTCAGAACTGCCTCAAGGTCACCAAGAACGTTGACTACGTGTTCAACCTTGCCGCAGACATGGTGAGATGAGACGTGTGATGGTTCGCGCGCCATGGCTGACGAGAGGCAGGGAGGAATGGGCTTCATCCAATCCAACCACTCCCGCATCTTGTACAACAACACCATGATCAGCTTCAACATGGTCGAGGCTGCTCGTCAGAATGGTGTGAAGCGTTTCTTGTACACCTCCAGGCATGCTCCACAGTCTCCTTGCTTCCTGTGCTGACCCTGGAGCTCAGCGCCTGCATCTACCCTGAGCACAAGCAGTTGGATCCGGCAAACCCTGGTCTCCGTGAGGAGGACGCCTGGCCAGCTCATCCCCAGGTGAACTTCGTCTGCGACTCCACGAGGACGCAGTTCGCCTCCTGCACCTCGGCTGACTGATGGCGAAGGATGCCTACGGCCTTGAGAAACTTGCCTCGGAGGAATGCTGCAGGTGGTACGGCGTCGACAACCCCGAGATCCAGTTCCGTGTCGTGCGCTTCCACAACATCTACGGTGAGCACAGCTCAGTCTCGACCTGAGCCTTGTCTGATGCTCCTCAGGTCCTCACGGAACCTGGAAGGGAGGACGCGAGAAGGCGCCAGCTGCCTTCTTGCGTAAGGCGCTTACTGCTCCGAAGGTGAGGAGAGGAGGAGGGTACAGTCGCGGAGTAGTGAATCTGGGGGATGTAGGAGTTCGAGATGTGGGGAGATGGCAAGCAGACAAGAAGCTTCTGCTACATCGACGATGCTGTTGAGGGATTGTACCGCGTGATGGCTTCCGACTACAAGGAGCCCCTCAACGTCGGTAAGTTGGTTGCTGGCCTGTCCTTTGATCGTCCTCGTGCTCTCCCACCCCAGCCCTTTCCTCCTCTCTCTCCATCCTCCACCTCCACCTCCACCTCCTCCTCCTGACCGTGTTGCTAGGATCCGACGAGATGGTCTCGATGAACGACATGGCGGACATGGCCATGGACATCGCTGCGTCTCTTGGAGTCCGTCAGGGGAAGCTGCCCATCAACCACATCCCCGGACCTGAGGGAGTGCGCGGACGTAACAGCAATAACGATCTCATCAAGAAGGTGAGAAGAGGCGGTGGCTCAGAGGAAAGATCGGGGGGGATGGGGTAGGGCGGGGGTCAGGAGGAGGACTTGGGAGGAAGGGGAGAGCAGGAGGAGGAGCAGGAGGAGGAGTGGAGGGATGTGTGGACGGCGCTAGGGCTGACAGGCAGCGTCGCAGGTTATTGGATGGGCTCCTGGTATCTCTCTCAAGGACGGGTTGACCAAGACTGCACCATGGATCCTCAAGCAGATCGAGGCTGATAAGGCGCAAGGTGAGGGGAGCAGAGCAGGGGAGGAGGGGAGGGGAGGGAAGAGGAGAGGAAAGAAGGGGAGGACAGAGGCCGAGGACGTGAAGGAGAGGGAGGAGGAGAGGTAGAGGATTGGAGGTCGAAGGGGGGGAGAGGATGAGATGCTGGAGGATCGGACGGAAGTCTGACAGTCTAGCAGGCATCGACGTGGCCCAGTACTCCTCCTCCAAGGTCGTTGCGACAGAGGCGGCGTCTGCTATCGGACAGAAGAAGATCTAAGAAGCCACAACATCTCTTCGCACTGGTAGGCCGGGCAACAGCATACACCATGACAGACTGAGAGGAATTTTCGAGGAGTGATGCTGAGAGAGTTGTAGATTTTCTTTATCTTGCTGCATTGAATTACTTTCGACGCTCATTTACACCCTCCTCCTTGTCTATTCTTGTCCACCTCATCTGAAGAAGTCGTTTTCCCATTGCTGCTTCCTCTGCATGATCTGCTTGCGAGCAATCTGTTCGCCGTCAGTCTCACTCCTTTCTCCCTCCCTCTCCCTCCCTCCCTCTCCCTCCCCCTTCCTCCCTCCCTCTCCCTCCCCCTTCCTCCCTCCCTCTCCCTCCCTCTCCCTCCCTCTCCCTCCCTCCCTCCCTCGTCGTACCTCGGCTCTTCGCCGGCTCTCCTCAAGGTCGCGCATGAGAGCCTCATAGGACGTTCCCTCCTGACTCTTCTTGCCTCCTCCCCCTCCCCCTCCTCCCCCTCCCCCTCCTCCTCCCCCTAAGATCAAGTTGCCCCTGCTCGCAGCATGAGAGGCTCAAACACATAGCTATGCTGACTACCTTGCGTTCGAGTCCACCGACGAGTCCCAGCCAGGCCTGTCTCTGCTCCACGAGTGGGAGGATCCGCGCGACCTTCAGGAGCTCCGGTGAGAAGCAGCGGAGAAATGAAGCAGGAGCAGGAGCAGGAGCAGGAGCAGGAGCAGGAGCAGGAGCAGGAGCAGGAGCAGGAGGGGAGCAGGAGCAGGAGCAGGAGGGAGCAGGAGCAGGAGCAGAAGGAGCAGAGAAAGATTGGACGTGGCTGAGCGAGAACGGCGGTGCACGGAGATGAAAGGAGAAGAGATTGTCACAGGAGAGAGGGAGAGGAAGAAGAGGAGCGAGGAGAAAGGGAGAGGAGGGAGAGGAGGACGCTCAGCGTTTCTCACTTGGGTGATTCGCCGCGAGTTTGTGGGCTGCGGTAGGGAGAACCCTTTCGCCTTGAAAGGATTTAGAGAAGATTAGGAGACTCAGAGGAAGGGGGAGGAGGTGGCAGGTGGCAGGAGGGAGGAGGGAGGCAGGGGAGAGGAGGGAGGGAGGGAGTAGAAACGGAAGAGGTATGAAAGCATTTCTTGGGGAGCAGGAAGGGAGAGGAGGCAGAATGTCGGTACCCAGCCACAGCAGGAGATTTCTCCCTTCGCTTCACGTTCTCCTTCCTCCTCCTCCACTCCTGTGACATGTCGCTGCTTCGGTTCGTCCTGACAGTCCGTGAGACACAGCAGGCGACGTCGGAGGAGATACGAAAGAAGGAAGAGGAGTGAGGAGAACGCAGGGGTACAGAAGAGACGGGGCAGAGGGGAGGAGACAAGAGGGAGGGAGGAGGAGGAGGATGTTTACATCTGATCCATGCGGTGATCCGACGGCTGCGCGATGCTGTGATGGACAGGATGAGCATGGGAGGACGAGGACGAGGAAGGGAAGTCTTGCCGCCTCCCCTGCCCAGTTGTCAGGTTGCCGAAGGGGAGGAGGAACAAAGTGTGCAAGGGGGAGAAAGAAGTAAGGTGATGTGCGGGGGAGAGGAAGAGAAGGACGAAGGAGGCAAGAATAGAACAGCTGAAGGAGGAGGCAGAGAGGCAAGGAGGTGGGTGAAGCAGGAGCAGGAGCAGGAGCAGGAGCAGGAGCAGGAGCAGGAGCAGAAGGAGGAGGAAAGGGGAGGAGACCTCGTGAAGCTGCTCTCCGTTGCCTTCAGAACCCATGTTCGACAACTTTACCCTGGTCGCGGTGGATGCAGCAACTGCAACAGACATTAGAGGAAGAGAACTCAGGAAGAGGGCAGGAGGACAGCAAACGAGGACAGAAAGAACAGGAGGAGCAGGAGAAGCAGGAGGAGGAGCAGGAGGAGGGAGTGACTGATGTACTTGCTGCTGCAAGCCGGCTGTTGTGGTTGTTACTCCATCCCAGCAAGGAGGAAGCATGCTCCTGTGCCAGCGCATGAGCTCAAGTGCGGAGGCGAAGGCGACCCTCTACCTGTCTGCCAGCCTCCTGCTCCTTCCTACTGCTCCTCTCCCCCTCCTGCTCTGCAGACCCGCGGGATCGGGGGACTGAAGGAGGTCTCCCCGAGGACCGAGGAAGGTCCTGGTCGTAGGAGGAGTGAGGAAACTCCGTCCGGTTAGAGGTCTGGAGATGGTGGGAGGGGGCTGAGGCGAACAAGCCTGCACAGATGCGTCAGATTTCAAGCATTCAGCCCCTCCTGTCATGCTCACTCACCGTATCCTCCTCCTCCTCCTCCTCCTCCTCCGGCTCGGCGAGGTGTCGAAGTAGCTGAACTTGGTGAGGCGCTCAAGGTCCCTCAGAGCTTCTTGCTCCCTCCTGCTCTTCTCCTGCCCCCGCTGGGGCTGCATGCCCTCTGAGATCAATCCTCCTCCTCCTACTCCTCCTCCTCCTCCTCCTGCCCTCCTTGCACCTCGAGTCTTGCTGGGAGGGCGGACGATTCTCTGCATGGAGGGAGTCAGCATACCGCAAGGAGGAAACGAAGAATGAACGAGAAGTCAAAGAAAAGCAAAACTAGAGACGAGAAAGCACACATAGGACACAGAGGAGAACGAGAAAGCACACATAGGACACAGAGGAGAACTAGGAGAAGCAGGAGGAGAATGAGGAAGACCAGGACGAGGAGGAGGAGGAGGAGGAGGAAAAGGAGGAGAACGAGGAGGAGGAGGATGAGGAGGAGAACGAGGATGAGGACGAGGACAAGGGGACCTCATGCTGCAACGCCCGCGGCTTCCCTGCGGAGGAGCGAGTCGCCTCCTCCCATGCGCTCTTGGTGGGACGCTGCGGCTCGGGGGAGGAGGGAGGGGATCGCTGCCTGACGTTGACGTGCGGCAAGAAGATATCCTTCTTCCTCCCTGCATACTTCGCCCTCTCTTCCTCCTCCTCCTCCTCCTCCCGCCTTCCTCCCCGCACGCGGCCTGTGCTGGCACTGCGACGCTCTATGACAGTAGGGAGAGAAGACTGAGTGGCGGGACGAGGAGCGCTCTGCTGCCGCTCGCCCATGGCATACCTGAGGGAGCTGGTGAGAAAGAGGCAAGGAGAGGAGGAGGAGAGGAGGAGAGGAGGAGAGGAGGACAAGAGAAGAGGAGGAGTGGAAGAATGGAGGAGAGAAGCAGGGGTGGGAGGAGAATGAGTGAGGATGGAGGGGAGAAATGGAGGGGAGAGACGAGGAGGAAAGACCTCTTGAAGAATTCCTCGGGAGCGCTCATAGCAAGCTGCCTAGCTGATTCCACGTCGCCGGAATTCAAAGCATTCTTGAGAGCTCTGTTCTCTGATGGATGTGTGAGAGAGAGAAGACAGGACAGAACAGGACAGGAGAAGGGACGCGAGGAGAGGAGCGGAGCAGAGCGGAGCAGAGCAGAGCGGAGCAGAGCAGAGCAGAGCAGAGCAGAGCAGAGCAGAGCAGAGCAGAGCAGAGCAGAGCAGAGCAGAGCAGAGCAGAGCAGAGCAAAGAAAGGGGGTACAGGGGATGGTTCAATTCACCTGCTCTCAAAGCTTCAATCTCTTTCTTGAGTGCTTCCACCATGTTCTTCGACTGCATCAGAGACCTCCCTCCTCCCTCCTCCCTCCTCGCTCCTCGCTCCTCGCTCCTCGCTCCTCGCTCCTCGCTCCTCCCTCCTGCTCTAGTGGCTCGTTGCCTCATTCTTTTCCATATCCATCCATCCAGCCCCTCCCACCCTCCTCCTCTCCCCGTCCTCCTCGTCCTTGTACTTTCTCCTCCTCCTCCTCCTCAAAGTGAATCACCTGCTCAGGGTCAAGCAATACTACTGGCTTGTTTTTGATGTTCTTTGCCTGTTCCACCAAGTCAGAAGAAGCAAAGGAAGCTGAGGAGAAAGAAGTAG